AAGAAAGAAGCCCCATATCCATCCTTTTCTTTACCCTTTACCGACTAGGAGTTCAGTCAGAGAAGTACTTCAGTCTAGAGAAAGTAGTTAGTTAGTTAAGGAGAAAGAATGAATGAATGAAGAACATAGGTAACGGAGTGAACAACTTGAATGCTTGATCTTACAGTGAATAGAAGACAAAAGCTGAGGTAACGCATGAAGTAGACAGACAAGAAAAGAAGAGTCAAATAATAGCAGAATACTTTGACAGTGAAAAGAAGACTTTAACAGTTCGCGCGCAGAAGACTTTGACAGTGACAAACAAAGAGTAGAAAGTCAATCATCAAAGATAGGGGAAAGAAAGAGTGAACGCTCAGTCAATCAATTAGTAGGAGAGGTGAAGGAGAGTCTTGAATGAAACACTATAGCTTATTAATGCAAGCAGATAGACTAGTTATTCAAAGACAGTAAACTAACTCTCTTTAGTCTTGACTTGAAGGAAGTATCAGTATTAGTAGTTTATACCTACTTCTTCCCTACGTCCGTAAACCATTCTTTCTATTAGATATATTACCTAACAAGTCAAGAACAAAGGGAATGAATTAATGCTTCTTTAGTCCACCCGCCTCCTTTTCTTTCTTCTTCTCTTGCTGCTTTAAGGATTGAATGAATGAATAAGTAGTTGGTTGGTTCACACACAGTCTTTACTCTTCTTCCTAAAACTAGTCTTTAACTGGAAAGAACGTATAGGAGAATGAATTCATCTTCTCTTGCTACAGTCTTTAGCTTGTTGGTTCAGTAGTTCAGTTCATAAACAAACACCTATTACAGAGTGAAATTCGTTTCTTAGTCTCCCTTCAAACAAAGACTGTAAAGAAAGAAGCGCATAGGGCAAGTATTGAATATGCGAGTTAATTAATAAAGAGAATGTAAAGAAGAAAAGAAAGGTTCCAACCCCCTTTCCTTTTAAAGACTAGAAACTAATAAACGAACTCTCTTCTGGCTTTATTACTTGTTCTTTAGGTTTAAGGTGAAGCTTTAGTCAGACTTTCTTTGCTTTGTTGTTGTTCAATATACTAACTAAAAAGGTAACTAAACTCTATACTAACAAAGAAAGGTAACTAACAATATACTCTAAAGGTAATATCGAATAGACAGAGTATTAAGGTTACAGCAATGGAATGGAATATAATAGAACTTTCGGATTGAATGAGTGAATTGAAGTAGGTTAGGTAAGAGCTTTCCTCTGGATTGAATGAAGTAGCTTAGCTCGGGTAATACCAGTGAGGGAGCTAGTTCAACCCTTGTTGTAGTTACCCTTGTTGTAATTGGAGAGGAGAAGGCAGGAAGAGATTGGAGAGGAGAGGGTAGGAAGAGTAGCAGATCAAGTCTAGTCTTTACCTCTTCTTCAATCAGGAGAGAGAGTAAGTACAGGAGAGAGAGTAAGTAGCTTCCTGGCAAGCAAGTCTGATTAGATTAATCTTTGCTTTTACCTTTACCTTTTAGTCTCTACTAGGAATAAGAATAAGGAATTCATAATAAGCAACAGATAGGTTATGGACGGAGTGAACGAACGAACTCACTAGCTAGGAATCAATCGATCGGAGCAAAGACACTTCTTCCATCTTCTAGTGGTTCAGGGCAGCAGGTGAAAGAAGAGTTAATATTTTTCCAGGTCAGGTGAAAAAGAGTTCAAGAGAATTAAAAGAGTTCAGGATAATTACAAAGAGAGTGAAGGAGTAGATTACTTGTTCCAAGGATAGCAAAATCAGCTTACCTTCATTGATCCTCTTCAGTGTCAGTTGAAATACCCGATGAGAGCTCACTGTGGAGCCTTAGGATTGAATAAGAACACAAATACGGTTTGTTTATTTGTTTGGTTGGTTGGTGAGGGCGAGACTTGAAGACTGCTTCTCTTGTTCATGAATAGCTAAAGCCCCATTCACGAGGTTCCACTAATAGAGACTAGTTCATGAGCTTGACCCTCCTCTTCATCTTACACTGTGAAAGAAGGGACAGAAAAAGGAAAGAGGCGTTGAGTCTATAATGAGTCAGTCAGAGACCAATAAGCAAAGAGAGTAGTTAGTTACGTTAAGCGAAGAGAGTAATTATTTACGTCAAGTCCTACGAAGAAAGAGGTTACGGCTAGAGAGAGAGGAAAGACGGTGAAGGAAAGAGTTAAGGAGACAAAAGCTAAGCTAAAGTGCGAAGCTGCCAGACAAAAGTATAACAAATACCAAGCTTTCCTTAAAGAATACTTTGAACAGTTAAAGCAAACAAAGAATACAAATTCTCCATCTGGTTACGGGACAGGGGAAAGAAAGAGTGAACACATCTTGCTTAAGCCTTTGTTCTTGAGTCTTGAAACAAAAACTATTCCTTCCTCTTATGCAGTTACTTTGACTAGTTAGTCAAACACCGTAAACTCTTTGGCTTTAGTCTGACAGTTCACTCTAATTCATCAATCAATATTTAGTCCTTTTTCAATCACAAAGAAATCTCATTTCAATCACAAAGAAATATCGTAAGTGGTCAAGGGGGGAGAGATATATATCACTATTCCTTATTCTATTTCTATTTGTAATAGAGTTTACCTTTACCAAGCTTGCTTGGAATGAATGTTGTTGTTTGTTTTCTTGTTCTTTCTCTTGCTTTCTCATGAATAGAGTTTAACTTGAATTTTCTGTAGTATGTAATGATTGGAGTTGTTCTAGACTAGCTAGAGCTTTACCTTCCTTACTGTAAATGTTGTTATTGGTCTTCTCTTTGTCAAGGTAGTAACTTGACCTAACTTTCCTGTAATGTTGTTCTTGTTGTCTTCTCTTCTAAAGGTTAGTAACTTAACTTGACCTTCTTCTTTCGTCAGGTTATAACTTGACCCTTCCTTTCTTCTTTCTAAAGGTTAGTAACTTTACCCTTCCCTTCTTCTTTTAAAGGTTATAACTTGACCTTCTTTTAAAGGTTACTAACTTTACCTTCTTTTCTATAATGTAAATCTAGCTCTTACTCTCGAATAGCTAGAGCTTTACCCGGCCGTAATGGAAATCTTGTTGTTGCTTATGACAAGCTAGAGCTTTACCCTTCCGTAATGTAAATTGTTGTTGTTCGTCACGTTAGAAGACTTGACCTTCTTGCCCGTAATGTATCCGTAGTTCTTCTTGACCAGAGGTAAGCTTTACCTACCCCTCCGTAATGTAAACGTTGGTGTTCTTTCATGACTAGTTAGAGCTTTACCCGGCCGTAATGTAAATCTTGTTCATCCTTCATCACAAGCTAGAGCTTTACCCAGCTGTAATGTAAATCTAACTCTTCCTTCATGACTAGGGGAAACTTGACCTCGCCGTAATGTAAATCTAGCTCTTCTTGACCAGAGGGAAACGTTACCCTTCTGTAATGTAAATCTAGCTCCTCTTGAGACGTCAGGTAAGCTTTACCCTTCCGTAGTAATTAGTGTATCCGCAGCTCCTCTTGACGTCAGATTAGCGTTACCCTTCTTTTGCTTGTAGTAATTCTGATTGATGATGATGATGTTGTTCTTCTCCTTGGCAGGTTACTTTACCTTCATGTAATTAATCTTTTTGTTGGTGTTATAGACATAAGGTTAGCTTGACCCTTCTGTAGTAATTTCTGTATCAGTAGTTCTTCTTGACATCAGATTAGTAGAGATTAGCTTTACCCTTCCGTAGTAATTAGAATGTTGTTTGTTGTCTGTCTTGGTTTCTTGCTCTATAGGTGAGTGAGCAGCTACTTCTCTTTCCGTATGTTATTCATCTTATCTTGTTGTTTGTCTTGTTCATGACATTAGATTACTTTACCTTTCTGTAAATGTAAATGTTGTTGTTTGTCTTGCTCGTGACTAGCTAGAACTTGAGAACCTTCCTGTAAATGTTCTTCTTCTCATTGTTCTAGAATAGCTAAAGCTTGAACCTTCCGTAATGTAAATTAAGTTCTTGGCAGGTTAGTAGCTTGACCTCGACCTTCTTGCTCTTGCTCTTGATCTTGACCTTCTTGCTCTTGACCACCTTCTTGCTTTTGTAATGTAGTAAATGTTGTTCTTGTTGTTCTTGTTCTAGCCGTTAGATTAGCCAGCCTTGACCTTTCCGTAATGTAAAATGTTGTTCTTCCATAATAGCTGGAGCTTTACCCCTTTCTGTAATGTAAATCTTGTTCTTCCGGAATAGCTGTAACTTGACCCCCTTCTGTCATCTAAATCTAGTTCTTCCGTAATAGCTGTAGCTTTACCTTTCTATAATAGAAATGGTGTAGTTCTGTAATAGCTGTAGCTTTACCTTTCTGTAATAGAAATGGTGTTCTTTCGGAATAGTTGGAGCTTGACTGACCTTTCTGTAATGTCTAATGCTCCTCTTCTTGTCAGGTAAGCTTGAATGAACCTTCCGTAGTAATGTATCCGCAGTTCTTCTTGACGTTAGATTAGCTTTACTACCTTTCCGTATGTAATGAATCTTCTTGTCTGTCTTGCTTGGTTGCTTGCTTGCTCTATAGCAGCTATAGGTGAGTGAGTGAGCAACTTCTCTTTCTGTTCTGTATGTAATGAATATCCTCTCTTGTTCTTTCTCTTCACGTCAGGTCAGCTTTACCCTTCTATAATCTAAATATAATTGTTGTGTTCATCACTTCAGCTTGAACTTTCCGTATGTAGTAATCAGATTTCTTATAGTTAGTTCTTGTTTTAGACTAGCTAGAGCTTGCCTGCTGCTTGCTTTCTTTCTTTCTCGTCAGGTTAGGTTAACTTGACTCCTTCCCGTGTAATGAATTGAATATGTTGTTTTTGCTTACTTGGTTGGTTGCTTGCTTTCTCGTTAGGTTGGGTTAACTTGACCTCTTTAGTATGTAATGAATGTTGTTAGCTGGCTTGCTTGTTTCTTGCTCCCGAGGTAACTTCTAAGAGAGTATTTGAGCTTCCTGTATGTAATGTCAATTAAGTTCTTCTCTTTGTCAGGTGAGTTACCTCTTTTTGCTTGTAATTCAGTTGTTCTTCCTTCGACAGGTGTTACTTAAGCTTCCTTCTCATACTCTTGCTTCTTGTTCTAGACCAGAGAGAGGTTAGCTTGAACTTCCTTCCTGTAATAAATCTTGTTGTTCCTATTGTCTCGTCAAGTTAGTAGCATGACCTTCCGCTGGGATGTAATAAATCTCTTTCTTCTTCTCTTCCAGCTTTCTCGGCAAGTTAATGAGTGAGCTTGACTGTGACCTTCTTGTAGTAATTCATATCTACCTCTCTTGCAATACCTACTTCTCTTGCAATATTTACTTCTCTTGCTTTCTATAGAGGTTATGTTGTAAGGGTTATAGGCTAGGTTATTAAGAATGTTATAGTAGCATTATTACCTTCCCAGATGTAATAAATCTTCTTCTCTTGCTGTCTCGACAAGTTAATGAGTGAGCTTGACTGACCTTCTTGTATGTAGTAATTCCTATCTGCTTCTCTTGCTTTACAGAATGAATAAGTTGTGTTGTTGGTTTAGTCTTTCTTTACTCATCACGTTAGGTTAGTTAGCATTACCCTCTTGTAATAAACCTTCTTCTCTTGCTTTCTCCTCAGTTAGAGGATTGAAAAGGTGTAACATCATAGGTTATCCTCGTCAAGGAATAGAGTAGAGCAGCTTGTAGGCAGTAGAGCATAATTAATGAGTAGGATTGCTAGCTCCTTAATGAGTAAGTAGTTCTAAGTTCAAGTAGAGAGTAGGTCTAATCTAAAGTAGATAGGGAGTAAAGAGTTCTAAGTGTAATGTAAGTAGTAGGGAGTAGGATAATAAGTATAGAGTTCTAAGTGAAGGAAGTAGAGAGTAAATCGTAAGTGTAAGTATATAATAGGGAATGGTTTCAGGTTTCGGTGTAATAGTCCTGTTCTGTTCAGTCTTGAATTTCTCTTTCTCTTTCAGTTGATGCTGAGTCTTGACTTGATCAAAGACTTGCTAAGGGAAATCAAAGAACTATAGTATAGTGTGATTGAATGAAGTAGAATGAATCTTTAGGCTTGACTTTCAACACTTCAATCAAACACTGGAAAAGGTAAAGTAAAGTAAGGTAAAGTAAAGAAAGAAAGAAAGAAAGAAGAGCATAGGGCAAGGAGAATCCATAAATCAATATCTTATCGACAGTTAAAGGAGAGAGAAAGTAATAGTTACGAGGCGTGGTGGAGCAGACGGAAAGACGATGAGAAGATCAGAGGTCAGGGGCTGGCAATTCCATTATGAGATAGATAGATAGGTTCATGGGTACACTCACTTCTAGTGGTTACGGTTTGAGATCTCTTTGACTTTGGGCAATCCGGTGTAAGAGTAAACGATTAGGAATAAGTAGTATTGCTCTTTTACGGTTTGAGGTATCTTTGCCTTTGACTTTGGGCAATCTGGTGTGAGAGTAAACGAGAAAGAATGGTTCGGCTTGACTTCCTCCTAGTATGGTTCAGAGGTTAGTTCTCTTTGCCTTTGGGCAAGGTAAACTCTCACTCTAAGCTTTCTTGACTTTTAGTCTTTCACTAAGGATAGGATAGTCTCGATTGGTTTAGCTTTTTCGTCAGGTAAGACTTCTGGTTTAGGAGCGAAGCAGCTTTACCTACAGGGGACGTTTAGGAGCTTAATCTCTCATTGACTCGTAAAGGAACTGATTCCTCTTGCGGGCAGGTTCTTCATTCTAGCTTTTGACTTACCTAGTTCATTCTTAAGAATACATATCGGACAAGGAAAAGGAAAGGGTGAAGTAGACAGACAAGAAAAAGGAGGAGAGGGGTGCGGGCAGCTGTTAGTTATCTTTATAGTTAGTTCTAGTTATCTCTCTTAGTTAGGGAGGAGGTAAGGAGGCTATCTGACAATCAATTCTTTCTCTTTGTTTAAGGTAAGGGATAAGGAGTTAGCTTCTTTACTTACTCTATCCTGACTGTTCACTCTAATTAATCTTTAGGTCAGTGCCTCTTCCTTCCAACACACCAAGGAAGAAAGAAAGCATCAATCAGTATATAATAGTCTGACCTAACCCGTAAACTCTCTATATATAATAAAGAGTGAAGTCGAGACTAATTGTGACAGATCATTAATCAATCAATAGTTCAGGGAATAGAAGGGAAGGAGTAAAAGCAAGTAGTTCAAGATAGCCGAGCCCGGGCCTAGAAACTCTCTTCTTAGTCTTTACTTGATGAGTCTCGATCAGGGAATACATATCATACTACAGCGGTTAGTTAGTTCTCTCTCTCTTGACAGGTAAGACAGAAAGAGGTTCTCCTTTTGATTATTACAATCTCTAATTCCGCTTGTTGAGTCTCCCTTCTCTTATTGACTGTAAACTCAGGACAAGGTTCATGGGATGGGTCATAAGTTTACAAGAAAGTCAATTCAAGACGAATAGGTGAATGAAGGAACAGGTTAAGCCAAGCCAGCCAAAGCAGTTAAGTTTATGAGCAGTTAAGCCAGAGCAAGTAAGTTTGATTGATTTATTCTCTAACTAAAGACTATTCAGCAGATTGTAAAGAAAGGTTAGCCTGACCTTTCTGTCTGTAATAAATCTTGTTCTTCTTGCTCTTGTAGGTGAATGAGTTTACCTTTCCGTCTGTAATTCATATCTTGTCTTCTTCTTTCTCTTTCTCGAGACGTCAGGTACGTTTACCCTTCCTGTAATGTAAATCTAGTTCTTGCTCTAGACCAGAAGAGGGTACTTGACCTTACAATGTAGTTGTCTTGCTCGAAGACGTTAGGTTAACTTGACCCCTTCCAGCCTGTAATTCATATCTTGTTCTTGCTTGCCTGCTGCTTGCCTTCTCCAGACGTTATTAGGTTATTAGCTTTACCCCCTTTCCTGGATGTAATGAATCTTAGTGGCTTGCTTGCTCCAGAGGTTACTTAGAAGAGAGGACTTGACCGACCCTTTCCTATAATGTAATAATCTTCTTCTTCTTCTTGTCTCATCAGGTAAGCTCTACCCCTTCTTGCTTGTAATGAAGTTGTTCTTTGTCAGGTCTTACTTTACCTTCCTTCCTGTAATGAATTGAATCTTTCTTCTTCTTCTTATTCGAGATGTTAGGTTAGCGTTACTCTCCCCCTCCTGTAATATAATTATCTTGTAGTTCTTCTTGTCTCGTTTAGTAGCATTACCTTCTCGTAATTAATCTTCTTTTTCTTGTGCTCTAGAAGTGAATGAGCTTGACCTTGACCCTTCTTTCCCGTAATGTAAAAATCCTCTTCTTTCTTCTTCTCTTGCTACAGAGGTGAATGAGCTTGACCTTGACCCGCAAGTAATGTAAATGTTGTTCTTCTTCTTGTCGTGCTTTCTCTTCGGTTACTTAGAGGATTGAAGGAAGGTCAGTCAAGTAGTAACTAACTTACATAGGGTGTTCTCGTCAGGGAATGAATGAATAGAGCTTAATGAGTAGGTAGTTGGAAGTGTAATCTCAGTACAGTAGGGATAGGAAGTGTAAGTAGGCAATAGTCAGTTCTTCCAGTATAGACAGTAGGAAGTGAAAGTATAGGTAGTAGTTAAGTGTAAGTATAGGCCAGTAGTTAAGTTAAAGTATAGGCAGTAGTAAGTTCTTCCAGTAGAGGCAGTAGTCAGTCAGTTCTTCCAGTATAGACAGTAGGAAGTGAAAGTATAGGTAGTAGTTAAGTTAAAGTATAGGCAGTAGTAAGTTCTTTCAGTAGAGGCAGTAGTCAGTCAGTTCTTCCAGTGCAGTAGTAAGTGTAAGAGTTGGAAGTAGCTAGCTAGCTAGCTTGATCTTTAGTCTTGACTTTCAGTATCAGTATCAGTAGTTAAAGATCCAGAATAAGTAGTAGTTTCGGATCATGTAGTAGTTTAGGATCATGTAGTGTAGTTTAAGATCATGTAGTGTAGTTTAAGATCATAAAGTCAGGCTGACGAAGAGGAAAGAGAAGAAGCTGCTTTACACCTCCTGAATGAAAGAAGAGTAGAATGAATCTTGTAGCGAATACGTTCTTTAGGCTAAGGAAGTAGTTAAGGATTGACTTCAGAAAGAAGAATTGGACAGAGAGGTTACGCGGGGCAAAGACTCAAGAGGTTATGGATAAAGAGTTCATACTCAGACAGAGAGGTTACGGATAAAGAGTTCAGACTCAGATAGAGACAGAGAGGTTATAGGGAAAGACAACTATCATTTACTTACTTCCTTCAATCATACCATTTACTTACTTCAATCAGGAGTTACTTACTTCCTTCAATTAGTTTTAGGAGCCAAGCTGACAGACCAAAGGGCAGGAAAAGAAGAAGAAGTAGTTAAAAGGAGAAAGCAGAAATAGGAGTTTAGCAGTTGGAGAGGTAAAGGGGAAAGACTAACTAACTACTACTACTTACCGAGATCAAGGTTATATGAATAAGGAGTAGAGTTGAAGTAAAGTAAAGGACAGAGAGGTTACGTAGTTCAGACTCAGACAGAGTTGGAAGTGAAAGAATTGTTCATTCATTATTAGTTGCAGCTTTATCAATAGAATAGTTGTAGGTGAATGAGAATAGGTGTAGGTGAATGAGCTTGACCTTTCATCCGGCTTAGTTACATACAAAGAAGGTGAAGTAAAAGAGTTACTTACATCAGTCTCACTACATTAACATTAAGCAGCCTTAAATATCGGTAAAGTCCGGAGAAAGACAAACTCTCCACAATACATTGTATTTACCTATAAAAGCATATAACGAATAAGAGAGACCGGTAAATAGTTAGTGTAACGGTAAGGGTTTCAAAAAGGCAAAAAAAAAAAGACGGGGAAATGCCTCGAATCTCGCCGAAAATCGTGGGATTTCTGGTGAGTCATGCCTTGCCAGCTAGGGCGTATTAATGTGTATTAAACCCTAGGTACCTTAGTAGCTGTCTTTTCCTTTTTGAGTCACTGTCATACCTGTGAGGGAGGAGCCGAAGGGTTTAGGTGAGGGATCGAAAACGTCGTGAGACTTCAGAGCGGGTTGGGAGATCAATAATGCCGTGAGCTTTAGGTAGAATCAGGCGCCAGTGTACGTAGGGTAAGGAGGGACAGACGTGCCACCAAAGATGGACAAATGACGACGCTTCCATAGGTGACAGTAGCCAAGCTCGGGATTAGGGCTATTGAGGCGTTCGGGCGAGGAAGACGAAGCGGCGGGTGCAGGTCGACCCTCGGCATTCCACGGTCCGTCTCGACTGGCGTGTAGCCCACACGTCGCAGGCCGCGCTCGGACACCACCATTGGGCCTCGTTCCTTTTCGGCCCAAACTAGAGGCGCGCCCAGAAACCCTATGCCGTTAGGGTTCTTTGCAGCCCGTCGGTTTCGGCTCCACTGGCGGCTCGGCTAAGTCGGCTCAGCAGCTTGGCGACGCGGCTCGACGGCTCGACATCCGAACAGTATACCTATTTCT